GCCGGGCGGCGCCCCCCCGCTGGCAAGCCCAGCCGCGCCCCGGGTGGCAAAGCCGGCCGGGCACCGATCAGCCGCAGGGCACCGCTTAAACTCTCGGGACCAGGTACAAGCCAGGATGGCATCATGGGCAGCTGCCGTCCTGCAAGCCATAATCCTCCGTGGCTTCAGTTTGCAAAGCTGGCCAGTGACTCAATCAAGCACAAACCATAGCTTAAACTCTAGGGGCCAGGTACAAGCCAGGATGGCATCAAGGGCATTCTGGTGGTGTCAGACGCCACCAGCACTTCACCTACTAATGGCACGATTTGGGTCGTTTGTCCCCAGGGGTGGTGTGAATCCAGCCTGAGTGGCCGCTTCACGGTTCAGCGTGTTGTGCAAAATAAGCCAGTGATCCAGTCACAGGCACCGTAATTTTGCCAGAATTAAATCCTATTCAAAACATCTGGACTTGACTGAGAGTAACCCTAATTGGACCCAATGGCCTCATTAAACCCTGATAACATGGCTTGTTTGGATTAATGGATCCTCTGATGAGCACCGCTAATTGCAGTTTATTCAGCAAGCCATAGTTAAGTCCTCCTAAGAGCCTTAAGGCTGGACCGTTCGGCATCCTGTATTGGGGAGGGCACTGCCATCTTCCTCCCCAGCCATGAAAACATGCCACCTTTGATCCACGAGGATAAACAGCAATCAAGGTTAATAGCCCTTGTTAGCCTGATCCCCAGTGCAATCCCTGTTTAAATTCGGGGCCAACATACCTGGTGGTGTGATTTCCATAGTTGTAATCCAGTGTTTTTCAATTTAAAGTCTACTTTAAGATGATGGACTTCATCTCGCAGAATTCCCCAGCCAGCCATGGGGAATTCTGGGAGTTGAAGTCCACCCATTTCAAAGTTGCTAAGGTTGCAAAACACAGGTCTAGAATAGTGCTAAACTAGGATTTATGTCATAAAGGACAACTGGCTGGGTTAGCCCAATACACTAAGCCATAAATTAAGGTTTGCAAGCCACCCCAGCTTGCTGTTGATAGGATCCCACCCCTTGTCCTACCTCGCAGGGTTGTTGTGCGGATTAGAAAAGGGATCCATGGCTGTCACGGTGGATCAGGGAGTCAGCATGAATTCACCTGAGCGCGCTCGGAAGGGAAGAGCAAAGCGTGCACTCGCGTGCACACGAGCAGGGAGACCACGGCAACCCGACCACGCGGCCTCCCCGCCTTTCCCGCGCGCGGGGCTTCGGGCCCGCACCCGGCCACGCCCCTTTCTCCGTTGTCTCGGCAACCGCTAGGCTACAACTGCCGCCGCCGCGCCTCCTGCTGGGTCGAACCATTTACCAGAACTCGAGGGGGGAGAGGAAGATAAAAGTCACCGCGGGAGGGAAGAAAGGAGGCAAGGCGGAAAAGCGGAGACGAGAGGGGACGGCTTTCACAACGGAGGAGCATAGAGGGAGCCCGAGGGTCCTTGGTCGCGCGGGAAGCTTTATTTAAGGAGGAAGGTTTCGCCGCGGCCTTCCCCACGATGCCGGTGACACGGCCCCGATAAGATGGCGGCCGCTCGCCTAAAGAAGGGGAGCGGGAGAGCGGCCGGTAAGGAAGAGGGGCGGGAGGAGAATCGGGGAGCCCTTCTCCGGCTCTCCCCATCGGGGGAGGACAGGTGTGGCGCCCGCTGATTGGCATTCCCCACCCCCCCCCCCCGCGCCCCCACGCTTCCCGGGGCCCCGCGCC